AACCTGCTTTCGTGCTCATTCGGCCGCGACATTGCACGATAAAGCATAACAATTATTTTCCGGACAACCTATTAGAAAATACCAAACTAAAACGAGATGAGAGCGGAAAATTCACAAAGTCAATGTACGGTAAAAAAAACATCTGAACTAAGATATCTGAAAGCCGTAAGAGATGTACTCAAACACATAGTACTCGTGACCTACACGTATATGCTGAAGAGCTTCATCTCGACAAACTATCAGTGCTTCAAGTTCACGACTCGCCTTTTCACCTTGTGATCGCAGCCGTGTCCTGAAAGTCAAATAGGATGTCGCAATTTAGAAACACTTATGGAATTTGTTAGAATGGAAGAGAAAATGACTTACACACATTCGTTATTCAAGTTATAAAGCTCGTTCATTTTGGCAATGCATGCGTGCATAGCGTCTTCCTGACAATAACATGATTAAAGGATCTTACAATTAGGCAATCAAATGCACAAACTTACGTTATACGGTGGCATAACATCTGGATTCCGCTTCATTTGATTGAGCAAAAGCAGAGCTTGATCGGCAACTCCTTCCAAGTTATCATTCTCTATAGGCATCGGAAAAGAAACTCTATCGTCAACGGTAGTCACGACAAAGCAACGACTGGACCATCTTCTTCGCTACATAGAATAAAACTAGGGCTCGAAACAAAAAGAAAAAATTACGAGTGATTGTATTGGAATTCTCGCCCTTCGCGCTCACAGATGCCATTGCACAGTCAACATCATAATGGCGTCGTCACTGCTCATCGATTTTTAGGACTTTGCGAATTCAGCATTTGTTTAGCGTTTTTATATAGGCAACAGCAGCAGCTTTAACAGTAAAACGCTTGAATTTACTGCCTATAGAGTCGCAATCGTATGACGTGCTCATTTTGCCTCCAGTATTCTACGGCAAAACCTCTGTTTTGCATTTCGCAACAGTGAAACGGAGACGTGCTCAATCAGCTGAGGGCCGAGGCCCTACTGACATCGAGAAAATCACTTCGTTTTCCTTCAAACTGTTTGAAAAAAGTTGGTGGGTTCGGTTTCATCTGTGCACAATAGGATTCTGAAATTTTTGTTTCTCCCCACTCTCTATCTACCTGGCATTGCGTGCAGCCCAAATTGCAAAAAGGCG